GCTATTTCAAAATATTAATAAAACAATAATAAATAATTAGACAAATAGGATGCTGTTTTCTTTTCCTACGAGCATGAGAGCATTTTTTTCTTTATTTTGATATCTTTCAGTCTATTCAATATTCCCCAAAACTGTCAGGCTGCAATGGTTGTTGGGCTAAAAATAGCTGAGGCTCAAGTGAGTTAAGGGTTGATCCCAGTACTTGCGTTTGTTTTTCAGATGTCAGAAGCTTACACTTCTTGGTTACTCTTTTACATATATCTATTTGTACTAATAATGTGTAACCCATTTTTTACATTTGAAATTTTCTAACATGCTTTTGGCTTTTGCATAAATAAACAAGGTGCCTTTTTGTTGTATTAATTCCAGTGTCTTCTCATGACCAGGTCTTGTTCACTGCTGATCTGAGACATAACAAAGACAAGGGTGCTTCAGCCTCGAAGAACGAAAAGACAAAATGCGACACAGACTCCAAAAAGATCAGCAAATCAACTGCAAAACGCACAAAGAAAGTTAAGACCTGAGCTGACAAAACCTGGTGTCGCACACTGACCATAAATACTAACGTGTTCTTAGATATTTGTGTTTGTTGATTGTAGACCGTGTGTTCAGCAGTTTTGACAAAATCTTGTCAGATCTCACCCTGTAATCTTTTCTAGAGTTCTTAAATCGGTTGTCATTTTTCAAGGCTGTAGACTATACTCCTCCCTCTCCTCCCCCCCCCCTACACACTCACACTGACACACTCAATCACTCACACTGACACACTCAATTTTTAAAAAAAATTGGGGGGTTCTTTTCCACTAGACTCTACAGTCTATTGCCTGAAAAAAGTGTACTATTGCTTTTTTTTTTTTTTTTTCCTTTCTTGGGGGGAGGGGAGGGGGCTGTTTTTGGTTAAGTTGGCCACCTTGCCAAGACAAATCAACTGCTCAGTGCAAAACTCTGTCATATATCAATCACTTTTCATAAAGATGTATGGCAGAGCCTTCCACTAAGCAGTCGAAATAATGTCCTGTGTCCTGTCTTCAAAGAGAGAGCATTTCATTCATCACAAGAACTCTGGGTTGAGATGAAATGTTCCAAGAAAGCCAAGAGAGTCTAGACCTCACCAAATTTAACGTTGATACATTGTTTTCCTTTACGTGTAAAATTGGGGCTGTGTTTTTCTCCTGTAGCTATCACTTGCACTTGCAGTTCTCAGATCTCTTCTCTAGTCTTGTTCCATCTTTTTTAAACTATCACTGTTGATGTGTATTTATGTGTGATGCCCTGAAAATTCTGACTGTGAAACTGATATTATTATTACTAATATTAAATGAAATTCTATTCCAATTCAGACTACCCTTTCTTTTTGTTGTAAATGTTGTTTACGCACGCAGAGACAGCCTTTAAAATTAAAAGAAAACAGGAGTCACTTTATGAGCTTTTATTTTATAGTTTGTTTCGTTCTTGTTCATTGCAAGAAATCTGGCACATTGCATGTGACGCAGTGAACATAGCATCCAATGAATTTGTGGAGCCAGATGTTCAATTTTGGTGAATCCAAATTTTATTTGAATTTAGTGAATGGAAGATTTTCTGTAGAAATGAAAGAGGAATTTGGGTAGATCTGCCTGTATTGTGTAAATAGCAAAACAGGACAGCTGTGTAAATTGGAAATATTTGAGGCAGTTGTAAAAAAGTCAGGAGGTAGAGTCTGTGAGACGGCTGGGTCCTACAACGTAAGACTATAATTTAGTATAATGTGGTTTACATATCGTCTTTATCACAAGAAAAATCAGAAATGCTAAATGACTAAATGACCCTTCTTACTGGTGTCTGAAATGCTTCACTGGTCGATTCTACTTCTTTTCCTACTCTCCTTGTTGATTCTGTCTGTCTTGTTTACTTTTGCTCTACATTTACGACACTTGTGTTTTGCTACTCTTTACTCAAACATAGCTCTACAATGACCTTGCTTTTGGAAATGAGTTTAAAAAATTGTTGTTACTCATCTTTCCTTGCTACAATGACAATATCCTGATGAACTGATTCTGACAATATAATAATTGTACTTGTAATAGGCCTACTAGCGTAGCCTGTTAATACTGAATGAATAGAGAAGTTGCAAAAAACTAGATGGTTGAACTGAGCAAAGTCACCTTGTGGTATCTCTCTTATAGGGACTGCTTATTACATCAAAAACTTAGGTAACCTGCTTTAGCGTTGTAGTTGTAGCAATCTCTCTCAAGGACATCCATATATTATTGTACGAGGAACATGGTGAAACTGTAAGCAGTAATCTCCTTTTCAAAGACGGTCATATTTTACTAGGAACATAGTCAAGCTATTTGCTGTAATCTCCCTTTCAAGGACGGCCTTAATGTACGAGGAACTTGACTGACATGCATAGGCTTCGTAGTCACTTCTCTCTCCTAGTCGGCCATTGTGTGAATCTACCAACATTGGCTTTGTAGTAATCTTTCTTTTGTAGACGGCCAAACTGTTTCATGAGACTTGATTAACCTACATGGACTGAGTGGGCAGCCCTACTTCATAATAGTCTCTCTCTAGTGCGGCGAGGTCAAGGCGGGAGTCCACGAACTGCGACTCCTCCATGCCCTCCCCCACGTACCAATGAACAAAGGCGCGCTTGGCGTACATGAGGTCAAACTTGTGGTCAATCCGAGCCCAGGCCTCAGCGATGGCGGTGGAGTTGCTGAGCATGACGGCTGAACGGACTACTGCGGCCAGGTCTCCACCAGGTACCGTTGTGGGCGGCTGGTAGTTGATGCCCACCTGCGCAAAGGGAAGGGAGGGGGGGTGTCATGAACAGAAATATATAACGTATATAATGACCGTCCACATGATTGAGTTGTTGATGCCAACCTGTGGGGAGGGGGGAGTGGGTGGTGAACAGAAATTTAAGGACAGTCTACATACTACACAGTGAATTATAATGGAAAATGTTTTGTGCTCCTTTCGACTCAATTTAGATCATCTGACTGAGAGGCGGGCTACTTCAATCCTGCTTTTCAGGGCCAGCCCATGTCAGATAAGTGGGATACACCATTCCGAAAAAAACCCATGAAGATTCTATATGGTATAGAAAAAACTTCCCCACACAGGATTGAACTGATCCACAGTATTTAATGACCACGAATCTAACTACTATACCACATACGCTGGTTGTAAGGATAGTCTTTACACTGTCACAATGTCATGCATGTCACTACTCGGGGTGCTGCTGGCCTAATAATAATAGACAACATCTTTATAGCCCAAATTCCCGCTCAACAGCGAGATCTATTCGCTTTACAATCTATATACTGCTATATTATTACCCCAGCAGACCTGAGGCAAGTGACAGCATTCTGAAACAATCTCAACTTCTGGGAAGCATACACTCTAGAAGAAAAATACTTTTGGGGTGGGGGAAGGGAGTTGCTTACAGAGGGGCTGTTGGGGGGGGGGGGGGGGGGTATCTTAAGTTCGTTTGTTTTGTAGAGGTTTCACGGCGCTCGCAACTGCAAAGGGTGAGCGCCAGAAGATTAGAGGTGTTACAAGGGAGTAACAAACATTAAAAAGAAGGAGGGGAGATAAGGACGATAGATGATAGGAAAGATGAAGCAAACTACACCAGTGTCCAGAGCACCCGCCAACCACCCACTTTTATCTTTTGCGTGTGTGTGTTGTGTTACTTTTGTTTTTGCTTTTTTGGGGGAGGGGAGGGGAGAGGGAGTCTACCTATAAACTGTTGAAAAAGTATCAAAGAAACGTTGATTTGTATCTACAACTTTATTATCACCTCATTTTAAACATCCAATTTTGGATTTGGTATTGTGAGTGCAGAGACTGAGGCTACATGTTGGCCTACAACCCATGGTAAGAAAGACTGACCTCGAAGTCCGTAAGACATCAGAGACTGACCTGAATGTATATTATTTATGTATGTGTTTTTACGCCCCCATCGACACAATTTAGATCATCTATTAGTTCAGGAGGCAACACTGCCTGGCAGGGCCTATCTGAGCTGAGAAGGATACAACATCCCAGCAGAAAGACCCAGATACTCAATAAAATGAATGGTCTCCCCTCTTAGGAATCGACTCCGGGTCTCCTGCGTGCTACAGCGAACCACCTAACCGCTACACCACAGGTGCCGGTCCTGAAAGTCCATAAGACATCAGAGAAGGAGAAACTCACCTTAAAACCTGTAGGACACCAGTCCACAAACTGAATCGTTCGCTTGGACTTGATGGTTGCTATGGCAGCGTTGACGTCACCCGGCACCACGTCACCGCGGTAGAGGATCGTGTTGGCCATGTATTTGCCGCAACGCGGGTCACACGACACCTGGGGGGGGGGGGGGGGTGACGGAAGATAATAAAAAATAATAATGATAATAACAATAATAATAATAACGACAGCGACAAAAAATAATGATTAGCGTTTAAGCTGCGCATTTCCATTTTCTATTATATTTTGTTTAAATTCTCAACGTCCATTACATTCATAAAAGATATCATGAGATGGGGTTGCTAGGTTTCTTGCAATACAACTACATTTGGGTTATTTGACAAAATACCTGTGGGATAAGTGTCCATTTCCAACACCACAATGTACAACTTGTACACATGGTTTTGCCATTGCCACAACACACTGTGATACATAATAGTCAATAGAAAAGCATGTAAGATGAGCTAAGACTGTCGGATGTGGCCTCTGTTGAAAAGACGAGTTGCGGCTCTCTTTGGCCCACGTAAACTCTCCCCTCCAAGCTCTGGCTCTGGAACTACTGTTTTGGGTCAGTGAATACCACATCAAGACTTAAAACTCGGTTAACTTTTGTAAGCCCATCACTGCTTGGCCAGAGACTACCGCGGGCTCTCTCTTGGACTGTGAATAGAAGCAAATTCCTGCTTTAGATATCTACACAAATTTCTCTATATTTACCACAATACAGTTCTTTCCGACTTTAATTTTATGTAATGGCTTGATTTTTGTCTAAATCTTATTTTTAATTTGTTTGGGTTTTTATGTTTCACTTTCTTTTAATCACTAAAGGTAAATCTAGGTAATTAAAGTTGTTTTTCTTGACTCAATCCATCAAGTTCGTGTGGCTTTGGTGTGTGTGTATGGTTGGAGGGAACACAAAGGCCGTCTCCAATGCGATCAGTTCACTTTCGGGGAGAGACAGCAACTTGCGTGGAAAAGCCAGAAGAATATCCAAGCAGCTGATTTAACTGGTACGATCAGCAACAAGCCAACCCTTTCATGGATCCTGAAGAGGAGGGGGGAGCAGCTATGGAATTGTACCGCCTGCGATGAAACCTATTCTCCGACCAGGTAACCAAAATAATTTCACTTAAGCTGAGTAGTTATTCGGGCTGTCGATTGAGAGGGTACAACAACGGCGTTACCACAAAGGTTGTCAAATGACCAGAATGCACGTCCTCAACAAGTTAAGGCTGTTCTCTATTCGTTACTCACTGTCTGGCTGTTGGGCTTGCGCTGGTTCAGTGGCGTCACACTTCACTACACGAGAATTACACATTTCTATCTGCTCAGTACCTAGTTTTGAGAAATGCTTTGTCAAAAATTGTTGAGTTTCGCAACGTGTCGAGATTTTTAGATTGGAATTCTTTGAATATCTTGATAACGACTCCGAATAATCTTACGATTTTCAGAGACTGATAGTAGGCCTACGTTTGGTTTCTGACATTAAGGTCTTAATCCCTCAAAATGGCCAAAAATGTCAGCTAAAACTTTATAAGACTGCGAATTAGCTCCGAAATTACATGTACATTTATTTGTCGGTTATGTGTGTAAAACTGCCAAGACTAAAAAGACTAAAGCAACTATTCTGTTGAGATTGACCATCTGATTGGCAGGCTCGAAGCAGGCGTAGGTCAGCTCTGAGACGTCCAAGTTCTGGTGGTAGGCTCTGTCGGCCGAGATGACCGGACTGTAAGAGACGAGGGGGAAGTGGACACGTGGGAAGGGCACCAGGTTCGTCTGCCACTCCTTTAGGTCAACGTTGAGGGAGCCGTCGAAACGCAGGGAGGCTGTCATGGCGCTCACCACCTGGGGGAGGGGGGGTATACGTGTCCTGGTGAAAGTGTCCCGTGGGGAGCGAAGGGGATAGAGAGAGAGAGAGAGAGAGAGAGAGAGAGAGAGACAGAGAGAGAGAGGATTAGGTAGGCAGGGGGTTGGAAGAGGGGGCGCCTGTATTTGTGAAAGTGTCTCGTCGAGAGAGAAGGGGTGGACGGA